GAGGAGGAGGGGGGGAGGAGGAGGAGGAGGAACAACTGTGAAACTAGCCAATGTGCATCTTTTCAGAAAATAAATTATACAATTTTCGTATCTTAAAGCTGTTCCAACTTGGGCAGTTCCCTGGCTTCCCATCCGTGAGGGGAGGGAACTGCCCCCTGGGATCCAGAAGAACTACAGCCCCTGATACAATTCATGTTTGCTATTGGCAGGTTCGGAGGCCCTTCATGATTGATGTGGGAGGGTCTCAATATCCATGCTCCTCCTCAAGCTATCTCATCTTCCTCTGTCCACAACTTATTGTTTTCAATGTATATAAAATTGTCTCTCCATTGTTCCACACTCTGACTCCTTCAGTCTCTAAGGGACTTGTTCTCCCTTTGTATATATGTTAATCATTTATTTTTCTTGAATTACTAGAAATATGGAAATATAAATTTTCTATCAAGTGGCAGTAAGAACTTTGCTATCTTTGAATATTTCTTCTCTTTTTTTTTGCCAGTCCTGGGGCTTGAACTCAGGGCCTGGGCACTGTCCCTGAGCTACTTTCGCTCAAGGTTAACACTCTACCATCTGAGACACAGTGCCACTTCTAGCTTTTTCTGTTTATGTGGTACTGAGGAATTGAACCCAGGACTTCATGCACTCTCCCACTAAGCCACATTCTCAGCCCCACATTCTTCTTGTGAGCTAACTGCTCACAAAAATTTTCCACAGAAAATTAACCACAGAAACTTCTGTCTACTGATTAAATGGGTTGTTTAGTCTTGAAGGCCATCCTTCAAGTTTTAGAATTATTCTCCAGGGTAAGTCACAGTAAATAATGGTAGGCAAATATTTAACTTGTTGGAAATAATATCAGAATATCATTTTCATCTAAGTAGGTTGAATGGGATCACTCTTGATCCCAGAAACACACATCTGTTCCACATCCCGCCAAGTCCAAATAAAAGTGACTCACTAACTCTATGCCCTGGCTAAGTTTTAAAAAGCACCATGAGATATTATTGTACTCTATGCAAGCATAGCACTTTACCTTTAAATAGTAGACTAGAAGTTCATTCAGAGCAGGGTCAGCATTCAGATTAACAAGGAAGCATTTGTCATCCCCGACTTTGATTCCTGAAGTCTGGAGTGAGATTCCCAGGCTCTCCAGCTGCTTCTGTCGTTCCTATAAATGTAGCACAAGGTGTTAGTTCCTCAGCCTCCAAGGTGGCAAGACACACAAGATGCTACAACGCCAAAACAGTGCCTCAATGTCGTTATAATACAAGCATTATCTTGAAATACAGTATTATTTGAAGATTAGTCTATATCTTATACTTTATTATTCTATATTTTCTTTCTAAACTATAAAAATAAAATGAAAAAACAAAATAAAAAACGGCCAGGCTTTTTTGTCATAGCGACAAAAGCCCATAATCTCAACTTCTATAGAGGTAGAAACAGAAGGATCGAGGTCTAGGTCAGCTCCAGGAAAAATGTGAAAATCTATATAAAAATAATAATAAACTAAAACAAAAAGGGCTGGGGGCATGGCTCAAATGTTAAAGCACTTGTCCAGCAAAATCAGGGCCCTGGGTTAAAACCCCAATAATGCCAAAAACAAAGGTTAAAAATAGCTCAAAACTAACAAATATTAGCAACATACAGTAATTAGCACAATAAAATGTGTTTACTGGTGGCATTCTCCTCCACCGCTAAACTTGGTGAGAACTTTATAGACTATGCTTATCTGGATTCTGTGAACTTACAACTCTCCCACCTCAGAAACAGGAATTTCATGTTACGTTTACATAGCTGTCCTATGGAAGCAAGCAGCTCACAACCTAGTATCTACAACCAGTAATTTTCTAACTTGGTAAGTTCCTCAGGTCTTAAAGCACTTGATAGAATGGCATGCTTAGAACTGGAGAACATTGCTTGTTTTTAGTTTTTAAAACTACTGATACACCGTCTTTATCCTTCAAACTGATCTGAAATGGAAAGCACAGACCCTTGGATCTGGGTTCCTACTAATGGAGCTGGATTTGTCAGTAACAAAGCTAAAAGCTGAAAAGGGACATGATGTGTCATCTGTGTGCACTGCAAAGTTCGTGGCCCGGGGTGGCTGATCTCTCAGGAAGCATGAACCTGTGCAATCTCCTCCGTTTTCCTTAGTTTCTCCTCCCAAGTCACAGTCATTTCCTGAATTAGCTTCTCAGATTCTTCTAGCCGGTCTTTTAGCTCCGGAGATTTCATTGCCTAAAAAAAATCAAAATGTTCATTTCATGAGGTTTTCAGACAATGTACTGGAAATCAACCAACTCTAAAAGAACAAAGGTGGTCTTCGGCCTCCCCACAGAGGTCTTCGTCTACCCAGAGGTACTGGTGGGTCTTTACTGACTCCTGCACCTGTACTTACTACCAGTAAAATAGACTCAACAAAGGAAAAGGTTATGTACCAACTCCAGTAAAATAGATTCAACAAAGAAAAGGGTTATGTACCAACTCCAAGCCCCAGGCCAGCAGCACTGACTGTGGAACAGAAAGACTAACTGCAGTAGGAACCCCTGAACCTGATTTTTCTTCCCACCTTTGCAAGAGGAGGAATACGTGGTTCCAGGTTAGGACTATGTAGGTTTTCAAATGCAGTAACAAAACATGGAACAACATTTGTCACAGCATGTAGAGAAGACAGCTGAAATAGAGTACCACTAGATCCATCAGTCACTTGTATAACCTTGTGTATAGTGTACAATACACTTCTGTCATTAGTTTTATTCTTTTACAAATATAATTAATCTACAAGGCTGGATTATTCAGATGAGAAAAAGGAAATGTCTGACGCCTCTTCCAGTTAAGTCCATGCCCACTCATTTTTACATTAAAACTAAATTGCACACAGTGTCTCTCTCGTTCTCACCTTCATTCTGCCTTTATTTCACGGAGAGCTGCCTAGCTGTGCCTCCTACCTCGGCTTTGGTCAGCTGCTCCCGAAGCTTCTCCACCTCTTCCCGGAGGTCCCGGATAATCCGGGCATTGGGGTCCTCATTCACCACAGCATGGTTCACAATGTGCTTCGCTCGGTCTGCATACCGCAGAGTTGACAGGGTTTCATCATAGTTATCGGCTGCCGGACTCACAGTAGCCACCATGGCTGTCTTGCTATTGCCCCCCAGACTGTCCTGCAGGGGAAAACCCAAGGGGGGGGGGGATGGTGTTTCAGAGGCAAACGAAGGCATCATAGGAAAAAGTTGAAGTTCCCCAGGCCTCAGACATGTTCAACAACAAAGCTGGGGCACACTGGCAGGTGCAGACTCAAGCTTGGACAATTTCTCTGCCAAACTATTTTTCTGTAAAAGCAGCTTTGGTTTTGGAGAAAGAAAGGTAATAGAAACTACATCTATTTGTGTTTAGTTAAAATGACTCTTAAGTCAATGTTCTTATTTAACATGTAACATGACACCATTAGTGAACACATGACTCAAGAATTAGAAGGACAAAAAAATTAGGGGAGTGGTGGGGAGGAAGGGATGGGAAGGGGAAACAAAGGAGGAGGCTACAATGCTTGATAAGAAATGTACTCATTATCTTGCCCATGTAATTGTAACCCCTCTGTACAGTATTTTCACAATATATTAAAAAAAAAAATTAGAAGGACTTAGCCAGGCGCCAGTGGCTCACACCTATAATCCTAGCTACTCAGGAGGCTGAGATCTGAGGATCACGGTTCAAAGCCAGCCCGGGCAGGAAACTCTGTGAGACTCTTATCTCCAATAAGCCACCAGAAAAACCGGAAGTGGCACTGTAGCTCAAGCAGTAGAGTGCTGGCTTGCCTTGAGCTGAAGAGCTAAGGGACAGCACCCAGGCCCAAAGTTCAAGCCCCACACCAAAAAAACAAAAAACACAAAACTCCACTCAGGGTAAGTCTACGTGTTCACTTTGACCATGCAAATGAGACTGGATGTAACTCCCCCTTCTCTCCCCACCCTCAAACCGGTTACTACAACCTAATCCCTCCCTCTACTTGACCACTGACTGGCAGATCCCCTCAGAGATTAGGGTAAAAGAAGCATTTTCTTGGGCTGGGAAGGTGGCTCAGTGGTAGAGTGCTTGCCTTGCATGCATGAGGCCCTGGGTTCGATTCCTCAGCACCACATAAGTAGAAAAAACCAGAAGTGGTGCTGTGGCTCAAGTGGTAGAGTGCTAGCCTTGAGCTGAAGAGCTGAGGGACAGAGCTCAGGCCCCATGACTGGCAAAAAAAAAAAAAAAAGAAGAAGAAGCATTTTCTTTTCCTCTGGAAAATCAGGTTTCATGAGGCCAGTGGCCCTCTGAAGAGGCCGCAGGGCAAGTGTGCAAGCAGATCTTCTGGAGCCTGTCCACAACTCTATGAGTAGATTCTCCCCCCGGATCAAACCTCAGCTGACCAGAGCCTGAGCAGGCACTGGAATTACAGCCACAAAGAGAGCACAGCCACAGCCACTTAGGTAAGCTGTACTTAGAATCCTGGCCTAGAGAAATTATGTAGTGGGAATTGAAATTCTGGAAGAAATCTGTTAAAAAGAGCAATAGCTAACTACTCTCACCCTGACAGACGATCTTTGGCTGAGAAGGCTTATCAAAACAAGAGTTCAGGGGCTGGGAAGGTGACTCAGTAGTAGAGTGCTTGCTTTGCATGCATGAGGCCCTGCATTCGATTCCTCAGCACCACATACACAGACAATGCCGCAAGTGGCACTGTAGCTCAAGTGGTAGAGAGCTCGTCTTGAGCTGAAGAGCTGAGGGACAGCACCCAGGCCCAGAGCTCAGGCCCCACAATCGCCAAAAAAATAAAACACAAGAGTTCATACCCTAACCCCCCCCAATAAGAGTGACTGAATTATAGTCTCAAGACTTGGAGGAATACTCCATCAGACCAGCAATAGGAAATCCATTCAGTCACAAGACAGCTAACTCTACCTTGGGAAAACCTGAACCTAAAAAAATAAATAAATAAATAAATAATCTTACTTTTGAAGATGCAAAGTTCTTCCAATTTGAACATATATGAATTCTGTTAGAGCAATCTATTTTATACAATTTCTGCATACCCTTTACTTTCTCATCTCAGCTTTTTGAGATGTTGCTTGCTGGCACCCTGTTTTCCTATTTATGAGAAGAGGTTAACTTCCTTCCTACAAAGCTAGAACTCATACATTGAACATTCTATCCCCACTGTACTCTGCCTTCAATTCTACCCCCAGCTACCATGACACATAGCTGGTAAGACAGAAAAAGTTCACAGTAAAGTCAAATGACCTAATACCTTTCCAAGTTACTTTCTCTTAGTGTAAGGAAAGAAATAATTCCCACAATTCCCATTAACTGTTAAATATAATCACAGATATCATATATGCTTATTCATCCACATCTAACAATTTGGTGTTTAAATGAATGTACTTACATTGAGAAATAAACATAGCTGTATGAAAGGCAGGAAGTGCAACTAATATGGGTTTTTAAAGTAAAAGCCACAGTTACTGCTTCACTCCTCACTTCTGGAGACTGATCTCACACTGCTGGAGCCCTGGCTTCGACAGCTTTTGAGAAAATGTCGTGAAGACTCCCTGTACACATTAGTGAGGTCAGATGTGACGTAATTAATCTGCACACTGCAATTCTACTCACCAGCAGCACCTGCCTTCCAGAAAGAATGTGGTCACTGCATGCATAGCATCACAAAGATAGCAAAAAAAAAGAGAGCTTGGAATAACTACCAGCAAAGAGGCACACACTGTGCTTCAACTTATGCTGGCAAACCACACATGCCTGGTTCTTTAAAAATCCCTTGATCGTGGTGCAATAATGTGTTTATATTAAAAAGTAGCCTTGTGTCATTAGCAGAAAGGAAATTGCAACATAACTGGCCAGCATTCAAAGAGAAAACACTCCCCTCCTTGTTTACTGTGTTTAGAAGGATCAGAAGAGCTTTGTTCCAAATGTATCAACTGCAAATTAAATGGACACTGAAAGAAATTTAATTCTGGAGGTCAGAATTTTTACAGCTGAAGAAACTCTAAAGTCATCTGATCATATTACTTCTTTTTACAGATGAGAAACTGAGACCCAGAGACTGACAGATGTAACAAGGGTCTGGATGCGAGTTTAGGTGAGGGCTGAAGTTATCCATTATTCAGCTTTCATCATTCAGCCTATTCAGCGAGAGGCAAGTACTACATAAAAACTAAAACAGTAATAAATACAGTAGGGTCTGGGAGAAGACAGCAAAAAGCCAATTCCTTTTCTTGGGGAGGAGGAGAAGGGTATAGGGATTGGAATAGAGGCTTGAACTCAGGGCCTTATGCTTTCACTTACTCAGAGTGCAAGCACTTAAGCTACACTCCCAGTCCAGCTTTTTATTGGTTAATGGAAGTTTCACTGACTTTTCTGCCCAGGCTGGCTTCAAATATCCAGGTCTAAGCCTCCTGAGTAGCTAGGATTACAGTCACTCCCAGTCAAAAAGCCAATTTTTGAGAGATTAAGAAGATGACCAAAGCTGATGATATTTGAGACCTACAGGTAAACAAGTGTTATGTGGGTAATGGGGAGAAAGAGGACAAGGAAAAATAGACAAAAGGAAGATCAAGTCCAAATGCTTTAACCAGTGTCTGGCAATAAGAGACCAGGTAGCCATTACCTTTGTTAACCTCCTTTCTTCATTCTGAAAGCCACTTCCCCAGAAAAGGACACTTTGATCTCTCTCCTATATAACAAGTATTTTCTTTGAGCTTTCTTGGTCAAATCCATTTTGTTGTTGTTGTTGTTGGTTGTGGGACTCAGGACCTGGGCATTGTCCCTGAGCTTTTTCACACAAAGCTAGCAATTTCAGCCACAACTTCACTTCTGGTTTTCTGATGGTTAATTGGAGATAAGAATCTCATGGACTTTCCTGGCTGGCTTTGAACTTCAGTCCTCAGATCTCAGCCTCCTAAGTAGCTAGGACTACAGGCTTGAGCCACTGCCACTGCTGGCTTGTCCAATCTGTTCTCCACAAGTAGGTTGCAACGTCTAAATTAATCCTCTTAATTTCAAATCTCTTCAGTAACTGTAGCCCAGGCTATTCTCAAACTCCTGATCCTCCTGCTTTGGGCTCTAGAGTACTAGTATTTCAGCTGTGTATCACTACTCCCAGATAAAGTGAGCTTTTTTGTTTATTTTTTTGCTGGTCCCCGGGCTTCAACACAAGGGCTGGGCTCTGTCTCTAAGCTTCTTTTGCTCAAGGCTAACACTCTACCACTTGAGCCACAGCCCTATTTCCTGTTTTTTTCTGAGCAGTTATTGGAGATAAGAGTCTTACAGGACTTTCCTGACGTAGCTGGCTTTGAACTGTGATCCTTAGGTCTTAGCCCTTGAGTAGCTAGAATTATAGGCATGAGCCACCAGCACCCAACTTTAAAGTGAGCTTTTTAAAAGTTGTTTATGAGGGGCTGGAAGTATGGCTCAAGTGGTAGAGCACCTGCCTCGCTTGAGGCACTGAGTCTAATCCTAGTACTGCCAAAAAGAAAACAACAAAACTTTTAAAGATGTTTTTCCTTCTTCAAGTATCTTTTATAATGAGTTTTGCATTATTTTCTATTGAAGTCATGTGTGTCTTCTAATGAAAGCAATTCTTTTGGTAAGAAAAGCACGGCTCAGGCCCAGATGGGTGGGGAGCTTGGCCAGGGAATCTGCTCTCTATCCTGTCCCCTGTGAGCCCTGTTCCCTGTGCCTCGTCTGACAAGTGGGAACTCCACTGTCCATCCTCTCAGATGACGTCAGGAAGCATGGCATGACACCTGATTTTCTTGCAACAGATCAAACAGCTGGAGGAAACAGCCACTCCATCATCACTGAGGCCAGTTTAACTATTATCAACTATACCAAAAAAGGAGGTTTCACATTGTTTTAAACAACTGAAGGGCCCCGCACCAGTAGCTCATGCCTGTAATCCTAGATATTCAGGAGGCTGAGATCTGAGGCCTACAGTTCAAAGCCAGCCTGGGCAGGAAAGTCCAATTAACCACCAGAAAACTGAAAGTGGCTCTGTGGTTCAAACTGGTAGAGCACTAGCCTTGAGCAAAATAGCTCAGAGCCAGGCCCTGATTCAAGCCCCACAACTGACAACAATAAACAAATAAAAAGAAACAAATTGAAATAGCAACCCTAGGCAACAAGGACAAAAATATTCTGCTTTTAAACGGAGCACATTGAGGGAAGAGTCATACATGATCCAAAAGTTCTGTGGGAAGTTTGAGAAAGAAATATCAAAATTTCTTCTGGAAAAAAAAAAAAAGGGAGCTGGGCAACGGCAGCTCACACCTGTAATCCTAGCTACTCAGGAGGCTGAGATCTGAGGATTGCTGTTCAAAGCCAACCCAGGCAGGAAAGTCCATGAGACTCTTATCTCCAATAAACCACTCAGAAAACCGAAGTGGTGCTTCAAGTGGTAGAGCACTAGCCTTGAGCTGAAAGCTGAGGGATAGTGCCCAGACCCAGAGTTCAAGCCCCATGACCGACAATAAAAAAATAAAAATAAATAAAGTGAGATGTCCAGGTTAACAACTGACACATTCTTTGGTAGTAAAATATTTGCAATATCTATCTGCAAGTGTTTGGGGGTTTTGTTTGTTTTTTGTTGGTTGATGGTGTGTGTGTGTGTGTGTGTGTGTGTGTGTGTGTGTGTGTGTGTGTGTGTGTGTGTGTGTGTGTGTGTGTGTTATATACACTTTTGTTTTAAATTTCTTATTTCATTGCATTTTGGCTAAAGGAAGGCATCTACCTGACTTTTTTAATGTGACAAATGTATTGGCATTACACTTATACAAAGCTCACAGTTTTTTGGGGGGAGGGGGAGAGACAAACATTTTACCAGAAAGAGTGCTCTGGTGGTGGCAGAGTCTAGATGAAAAGTCAATCCTGCAAGCTCTGAGAGCAGCAGAACCCAGGAGAAAAGCTGCGTCCCTGAGCCAAGACTGCTCTCCAAGCACGGTGGACTCTGTCACTAGTGTGCCTGCCGCTAAATTCCTGGGGCCTGCACTGCACTTGTCTTTACCATTCCCAACCTACAGCCACTGAATCACAGGTGTTAAGCAAACTACCAGGAAGAAAACGAGTCACCATAAAACTCAACATCACACATCAATTTCTGCCTCTATGCAACTTGTGGACAGGGATAGGAGGGGAAAATTGGGGGAATGTGAAGGAAGGGGTGACCTTGCCCACAAAAAGAAAGGTACTCGTCAAGCATCATATCTGGCAAAAAAAAAAAAAAAAGAACAAAGACTATTAAGGCAGGTTGGAAGACTCTGCTCTTTACAGAAGACTAACACCTGTGTAAAGTCTCAGTAGAACTTATATCCTCCGACTCCTGCCCCAGTGTCAACTTTACCTCCTCACCTTGACAAAGACTCAGGGGGAGCTGGGGCAGCCTGGAAACAGCCTGTCCTTCGTCAGAAAACTGATTACAAGCATGCCCTGCCTGTGGTGGTGTCCATACCAGCACACTGCTATCACCCCTGGACACTGTGACCTCCAGGCTCTGACACATTGGAGTCAGGGTTGTTTGCCAGGAGGTTGTTTGCCTCTATTCCCCTCACAGCACCGCACCTAGGTTTGATGTTGCATTTCTCTCTCATTTACTGAATGAATTCATCAATGAAAGACTATGCTCCACTCTGCACCCCTCAGCAACACCTTTAAGGTGAAAGAAAAGTAACGATGGCAAATTGAGAGGAGTTAAACAAGATAAGATCCAAGCTTTCAAACAAAGGCATCTGAAAAGAGGATGAGCAGCTGAAAAGTGTCCACAGTGGGTACATCTTCTCTGAGGCTCTTTACCCCCAGAGCTCCAGAGCCACTGTATGATGTGGTGAGTGCCTGGGGACATAGAAGGGAACTATGCTCACTCGGTCCATGAACTGCGACGGACCAAGCACTAAAGGAAGAACTGGTAAGTGCAAGAGACTGGCGTGGCAATCTGCTCTTCACTCTTCTCTTCTGCTAGTCATCAACAGTATGCCAGGAAAAGAAGAAGAAAAAAACTTACTTTGAGGAGCCACGTGAGAACTGAGTCACGATATGGAACAAATTTATTTTTGTTTTTGCCAGCACTCTGGTCGGCTAGGGCTGAGATAACCAGACCAAGGGTTGTGAGGGACCTGCGTGTGCAACAAGCCAAAATAATTACAAGGATGAAACATATCAAATATCACAGCATAGCACCAAGATGGAGCATCAAGATGCCCTCCCACACCTGCCTGTGAGCACAGTTGTGATCAGCGTTCTACCACTCAGTCTGAAAGCACACTAAGCCTAGCACACTCTTGTCCTTCCAGTACTACTTCAACAATAAAAACTCTTAGCCCATTTATTAATTTTTTTTTCAGATTAAAAGGTAAGCTGCACTGGTGCCTCTTACCTGTAATCCTAGCTACTCAGTAGGCTGAGATCTGGGGACAGAGGTTCAAAGTCAGCCTGAGCAGAAAAGTCCATGACACTCTAAGCTCCAATTAACCACCAAAAAAGCCAGAAGTGGAACAATGTGGCTCAAGTGGTAGAGTGCCAGACTTGAGTGCCAGCTAAGAGATGGTGCCTAGGCCCTACATGTAGGCCCCAATTCAAGCACAAAAAGAAAAAATAAAGAAGAAAAACAAGCCCCCAAAATATAATAATTAAAAGAATAACACAAAGCAAAAATTCTATCTACATTATTCAGTAACAGCCTAGCAGGTGGATGAGGGTAATTTCCAGTTGCAGGTCCATGTGGGAGCCCTACGATCAGGGACAACTCCATCCACCAGAGAGCCACAAGAAGAAACTGGTGAACAAAATACAACTGCTTGTGTTATCTGAAGCCTGGCTTCTTGCTTGTGGACAAGCAAGCAGCGTTCACAAAGGAGCAGCCTGGTGTGGCAAAGACCCACGGTATCTGTACAGACAGCAACGCCCTGGCCAAGGTCAGAGTCCAATCATTGTTGCTCTTTCTATAACTTAGACCTCTGGTTCTCAGCGGGAGCGTGCCCCACAGGACAGCAGGCCACAGGGTCTGAATTGTCACACTGGGGGTGGGGTGCGGTGGCGGGTACTACCATCATCCAGTGGGCAGAAGCCAAGGATGCCGTCACAGTGGACAGCACACCCCCACCCCCACCCCGGGAGAGAGAATCGCCCACCCTGAAATGTCAGTGGGGCTGCTGTTGAGTCCCCACCTGAGGACTCTACACCACAAAAAACATGAGCCCAGGTCCACTGAAAATACCAGCATAACCCCACACCGCTACTCCTTCATCCTTCCCTGAAAATACCAGCATAACCCCACACCGCTACTCCTTCATCCTTCCCCTGACTATTGGAGAATTAGCCCACATCCTCCAGTTTGGCTATCAACTTGATAAAGCAATTGAGATGATACTTCTAGAAAACTTACTTGTTAATGTTACTGCCCTCCTTCAGCCTGTCGCCCGCAGCTCCAGTTTTTGTTGCTCGCTCACTGCCAGCCAAATCAACCAGGCTCAGTTTGCCCACTTTCTCCCCAGAGGTCTGCAGATAAAGTGAATACAACACACAATTGAAGCAGAAAGCAGGCCGTGTCCACCGACGGGCTTATCACCTAAACCTTTCATTGCAAAAAATAATCGATGCTTATATGAAACCCTGTAGGAAAACTATAACCATCAACCAGAAAAGACGCAGAGACCGCTCCAATCCAGATGGAGTGTCAGTCGACTTTCTCAGAGCTGGCGGCATGGCTCAAGCGGCAGAGTGCTTGACCGGGAAGCCTGAGGCCCCGAATCCAATCCCAACACTGCAAAAAAAGCATGCAGGGAAGGAAGGAGATCTAAGGAAGAGTGAATCAGCTCAAGAAAAAAAAGAAAGCGCCCTTCTCCCAAAATGGGACTTTTTGAAACGAAATCAATAGTTTTCAGAGAAATATACAGAACTATTTATAAATGTTAATATGATTTGAAACTGTGCTTAAAATTTCATAAATATCTACCAATGATCTCAAAGAAAAATATTTGCATTCTTGCAAAAAGAAAAACAAGAATATAGTAACCTAACATTCTGGAGCTGGGAAGGTGGTTCAGTGGTAGAGTGCTTGCCTTGCATGCATGAGGCCCTGGGTTCAATTCCTGAGCACCATAAAGCAGAAAACGCTAGAAGTGGTGCTATGGCTCAAGTGGTAGAGCACTCGCCCTGAGCTGAAGAGCCAAGGTACAGCACCCAGGCCTAGAGTTCAGGTCCAGGACCAACAAAAATAAAAATAAAAAAATTGAACATTCTTTTTTTTGGGGGGGAGGGGGGGTCAGTCATGGGGCTTGAACTCTGGGCTTGGGCGCTGTTCCTTTAAAATACACATTTATATTTACTTCCATAAAGTAAACATGCTAACAAATGTATATTCAGCTTCCCAAATCTGATTTTTTTTTTTTACTAAAAAAGTTCTTTGTTTTATGCTGAAAAGGAAATAGGAGATAAAGAACTTCTTTGTTACGCTAATATTGTTGTGATGGTAACACAGAATAGAAGGGAAGGCAGGCGGAAGGAAGGGAGGGAGAGAGGGAGGGAGGGAGG